CAGTATTTTTGATGAGCATAGATGCAAAAATCCTCAACAAAGTATTGGAAAACTGAATCCAACCACATATTAAAATAATCATTCACCACAGTCAAGTGGGATTTATTCCTGAGATGCAAGGATGGTTCAATATTTGCAAATCAATCAACATGATACATCATATCAATAAGAAAAAGGATAAAAACCATATGATTATTTCAGTAGTTATGCAGAAAAAGCATTTGACGAAGTACAACATCCATTTATGATAAAAATCCTCAACAAAGTAGGCTTAGAGGGAATATACCTCAACATAATAAAGGCCAGTTATAAAAAACCCACAGCTAACAGCATACTCAATGGGGAAAAACAGAACTTTTCCCCTAAGGTCAGGTACAAGACAAGGATTTCCACTCTCACCACTTTTATTCAACATAGTCCTAGCCACAGCAATCAGACAACAAGAAGAAATAAAAGGCAACCAAATTGGTAAGGAAGAAGTAAAACTTCCACTATTGGCAGATGACATGATACTATATGTAGAAAACCCTGAAGACTCCACCAAGAAACTACCAGAACTAATAAATGAATTCAGTAAAGTTGTAGAATACAAAACCAATGTACAGAAATCTGTAGTATTTCTATACACTGCTAATGAAGCAGCAGAAAGAGAAATTAAGAAAACAATCCCATTTACGACTGCACCAAAAAGAATAAAATACCTAAAAATAAACTTACCCAGAGAGGTAAAAGACCTGTACTCTGAAAACTATAAAACATTGATGAAAGAAATTGAAGATAACAGAAAGAAATCAAAAGACATTTCATGCTCATGGATTGGAAGAACAATATTGTTAAAATGTCTGTATTACCCAAAGCTATCTACAGATACAATCCCTATCAAAATACCAACAGCATGTTTTACAGAATTAGAAAAAACAATCCTAAAATTTGTAGGGAACCACAAAAGACCCCAAATAGCCAAAGCAATCTTAAAAAAAAAAAAAAAACTGAAGGTATCACAATTCCAGACTTCAAGTTATATTACAAAGCTGTAGTAATCAAAACAGTATGGTACTGGCAAAAAAATAGACACGTCAATAAAACAAAATAGAAAGACCAGAAATAAACCCACAATTATATAGTCAGTTAATCTTTGACAAAGCAGGAAAGAATATCTAGTGGGCAAAAGACAGTCTCGTCAACAAATGGTATTGGGAAAACTGGACAGCTACATGCAAAAGAATGAAACTGGACCACTTTCTTACACCATACACAAAAAATTAACTCAAAATGGATTAAGGACCTAAATGTGAGACCTGAAACCATAAAAATCCTAGAAGAGAATAGAGGCTGAATTTCTCTGACATCAGCCAAAGACATATCTTTCTAGATATGTCTCCTGAGACAAGAGAAACAAAAGCAAAAATAAAGTATTGGGACTACATCAAAATAAAAAGCTTCTGCATAGCAGAAGAAACAACCAACAAAACTAAAAGACAACCTATGGGAGAATGAGAGAGGATATCTGCAAATGACATATCTGATAAAGGGTTAGTACCCCAAATATGTGAAGAACTTATACAACTTAACACCAAAATAATCCAAGTAAAAAATGGGCAGAAGACATGAACCGACATTTCTCCAAAGATGACACCAAAATAATCCAAGTAAAAAATGGGCAGAAGACATGAACTGACATTTCTCCAAAGATGACATACAGATGCCAACAGATACATGAAAAGATGTTCAACATCACTCATCTGAGGGAAATGCAAATCAAAACCACAATGAGATATCACCTCACACCTGTCAGAATCATTACGATTAAAAACTCAAGAAACAAGTGCTGGCAAGGATGTAGAGAAAAAGGAACCTTAGTGCACTGTTGGTGGGAAGGCAAACTGGTGCAGCCAGTTACTGTGGAAGACAGTATGGAGGTTACTCAAAAAATTAAAAATAGAACTATCCTATGACCCAGTAATCACACTACTATTTACCCAAAGAATATGAAAACACCAGTTCAAAAGGATATATGCACCTCTATATTTATTGCAGTGTTCTTTATAATAGCCATATTACAGAAGCAGCCTAAGTGTCTGTCAATAGATAAATGGATAAAGAAGATGTGGTATATATACACAATACAATATTATTCGCCATAAAAAAAGAAATCTTGCCATTTGCAACAACATGGATGGAACTAGAGGGTATTATGCTAAGCAAAGTAAGCCAGTCCAAGAAAGACCTATACCATATGATTTCACTCATGTGGAATTTAAGAAACAAAACAAATGAACAAAGTGGGGGGAAAGAAACAAACCAAAAAACAGACTCTTAACTATAGAGAACAAACTGATGGTTAGCAGAGGGGAGGTGGGTGGGGGATGGGTGAAACAGGTAATGGGGATTAAGAGTACGCTTATCTTGATGAGCACTGAGTAATGTATAGAATTGTTGAATCACTGTATTGCACATCCAAAATATAACACTGCATGGTAACTACACTGGATTTAAAAAATAAATTTAAAAGGTAGAAAGTAAAAAGTAAAATAAAAATTTATTCATAAAAAACTCAATTTAATATGAAAGAGTAATTGTGCACTGAACAAAGGTATTTATTTATAATTCTTACCTTATTTTTACCTCAGAGTAGTGTTGCTTAAAGGTCAAGTGTGGGGGGGAGGAGAGGGGTGTGTGGGTGTGTGGGTGTGTGGGTGTGTGTGTGCGCACATGCGCGTGTGTTTAAGAAAGAGAGAAAGAATGTGCATCCCATTGCTTTGTTGTCTGACCTTTTCGGCATTTTAGCTCCAAGCCAGTCGTGGAGCAACACTGGGAGTCTTGTGAGGATTATATATAGCAAAATGTCACCAACAACCAAAGACATTCTGTCCCCCTCCCAATCCAAATACATGAAATTCACACCCTGGGAAAAAATTCACAGTAAATTTTGGCTCGGCAAGAATAGCATTATATTTGTGCACAGGAGGTTTTCTTTTTCAGTTTTATTCACTGTATAACGAGAAGGGGGCCGGATGGTGGGTCTGGAGATGCAGCGAGCCCTTCTCCTCACCGCAAATAGCACTTGCTCTGTGACTGTAAATAAGAATTGTGGCCAAGATGACACGTGTGTTTTGCACTTTACAATTTAAAAATCACCCCAGCTTTTCATACTCACAAAAGCCCACTGCAGTTGGCCAGGCAGACATGACTGTGCCCACTGATAGATGGAAAACCAAGGCAGAATTGAGGAGTGAAGTTACAGGTGTCAGACTGCTCCGAGCCAGGTCAGGCGCACAAACCTGCTGACCCATGCCCAGCACTGTTAGTACTGGACTGTGGAAGTCACAATCTCTCCATTTCTGCCCCTGTCACGTGAACCCACCTCCAAGTCCTTCCACCAACAGCTTCAACTCACTAAGGTTCCGGAAGGACCATGAGAAGTGCAAATATTTACCTGCCACTGGATTTCTATTGTGCAGGGTAAGCCAGGCACAAAATCATGAGGTTGAAAAAGAAGTTTCTGGGCTAATTCAGTACTACTCACCCCTCATAGCCACCAGCCTCATCGGAAAAATGCCCCCAATAGCACAGGGAGCCCACCAGGTGTGTGCCCCCCACCACCACATTTTCTAGCGGGGGCATAAATCTGTCTTTCCACAGCTGGTCCCAAGCCTCTGGTTCACACCAGGTTGGGAGTGGCAGACCCCTTCTCCCTAGCTCCTGCCCCAATACTCCTGGCTGATCAATCAGGGCACTTTTTCTCAATGAATGTGAACTCAGATACTGTTAGAGACAAATGGACCCATGTATGTATGTCTATGTATTAGGTAATTTTTAATAATTTGTGTCATGCTTGTTTCCAATAAAAGGCACAATAGAACAAACTATTGCAATGAGGATCAAAAGCAAGAAAGGAAGGGGAAGGGTGTGTGCAGAAAGGGGGCGCTGAGGTTGCCTGCAGCACAGAAGCAGAAAACTGAGTGCTCAGCTTTCTCACAATGTCAACAGGAAAAATGGGTTACGAATAATACAGTCGCTTTGTAGGAAATACAAACTTTTCCCTGACCCTGAAATCTAAGAGTCAATTGTAGCATAGATTTTGAATAAGGCATATCACGCAGCTTAATGGGCATTGTCTTCATCCACTAAGGCAGTATTTCTCAGAGCTTCTGGAGTATCAGAATCCAAACAATCTGGGGGTGGTCATCATTTCATAATGTATACGTATATCACAGTATCCCACTGTACATCTTAAATATATGATTTTTGTGAATTCTACCACAATAAACCTGGAGGGAAAAAAGGTACATTCCCAAGCCCTGCCCCAAACTCACTGAGTGAGAATCTCTGGCAAATGAGCCTGGGGCTCTGTATTTCAAACAAGCTCACGAACTGATTCTTGTGTACCTGCAAGTTGGCAAACACCCTTATCAAAGTGTGGGTAGATGACAGTGCCTTCATGTAGTGGCCTTTGCCAGCCTTCCTTGCGTCTGAGCAGGACACAATGCCTGAACCCAGAAGAGTCTGGTGGAGGAGCTCCAGGTCTCAGGACCCACCTAGGGAGATATGTGCAGGCTGCAGAGGCTCTGTAGGCCCCAGTGGTTGGGAAGTGGGGGTTTCTGCATGCACTTGGGTGGGAGTGAGCTTGCTGCTGGGATGTCAGATGGCCGCAGGCCCCAAGGAGGGCGGGCCCCATCTTAGGTCTTGCCATCACCCCCCAGGGTCTGCCATCCATAGCCCATGGCAGCCCCCAGCCTACATTAGAGTCAGGGATATGGGCTCAGCAGACCACCAGACCCGGTGTTCCTACTCTGTCCCTTCCCCGTCCTCATCCATCATGGGGGCAGGCAGAGCCCAGGAGTCCAGCAGCCAGCCAGGTGGCAAAAACCCCAGCACAGGAGCCATGCTGCCCCACTACCTCCTGTCCTGTGCCTCCCCACTCCCCAGGGCAGGCTGGGATCTGCCAGGGACTGGCCGTGTGGAGGCAATCATGAGTGCTTCCCTTTCCCTGCCCACAGGTTTGGAATAAATTGCCTCATCCAGTTTGAAGACTTTGCCAATGCCAATGCCTTCCGCCTGCTCAACAAATACCGCAACAAATACTGCATGTTCAACGATGACATCCAAGGTAAGGCTTGCCCCGCCTGACAAAGCCACTGAGGACTGAGGCCTTCCCACAGGCTGCCCTGCATGCCGGAGTGGGGGCGCCTCCCGCCTCCCGGCTCGCCCACTGCCCACAGCTGGGGCAGAAAGAGCATTCATGTTGGGGCCAACTCCCACTTGGCTGATTCTTAGCTCTCTGACTTTGTAAAAGTCCCTTAACTTTGCTAGGCCTCAGTTTCCTCACCTATCAAGTGGACACAATTAGTGCTTCAGAGGAAAGTAGAATTATGGGATTTAATATCTGAGAGAAATACTAACCAATGCTGCCATTTTCTAGCCAGTTGAACTTGGGCTAATCAAATCTCTGAGCTGTAGTTGTATCCTCTAGTCATTGGGGATGATAATAACTGCCTTGGAAGATTATTATGAAAGAGCTAATGTATAGAAAGTACTAGTACATAGGACTCATCAGACCAGAGCATCAATCACCATAAAAATGGCCTTTCCCAGCCTCAGTAACTCACTCTTGGATTTCCCAAACACTAGGTGTAGCCCTATCCAGCCCATAATTTGGCTGGAATGCATGCTACTCAGAATGATAACTATGAAAGACATTGACACCAGGGCCCCAGGGCATTCCAAAAGCCAATGGGAAGCATCTTCTAGTGCAGGGTCAACTGGGTTACCTGTTCTATGGCCCAGAAGTATCTGAAGGCACTTGCTTCTTGCTGTGGAGATGCCAGTATGTGAAACTGGAGGGGAGGGCGAGTCCCTCACACATCATCTCTCCTGATCCAGGCCTTCTCAGTAAGAGCATTGGGAACCATTCCCAGTATTTTATAAGCTCAGGAGAAACCTGAGGACATACAGATTATTATTTAACAAATGAAGTTTGGCATGCAAAATCTTTCAAAAGCAAAAATGCATGTCAGAACAAGAACAAGTTGGTGGGGGACAGGTGTTGGTCCTTGGGAGTAAAAGATTGGCCAACCCTTCCTTTTTGCAGATCAGACCCAAAAAGGTCACAACTTTTCATCAGATGAGTTAGGGTTACACCTAGGAGAATTCAAACCCGTGTAATAATAGCTAAGGTTTAGAGCTGAATATTTATTGTACATCAGGCACTGTTCTAAGTACTTTACACTTTTGATCCTATGAGATTTTATCATCTCTGTCTTAGGAATGAAGAAACTGAGGCACAGAGAGAATAAGCTTATATAGTAAGTGTAGCGTTGAAATTTGGACTCTAAAGTCTAAGTTCATAATCACTCACCATACAGTTCCGAGACCTTACATGATTACAAAACCAAAGGCCCTTTCCTGCGGCCCACATTAAGGGCTAAAGAAATGTGATAAATGGGGTTTTTTTTGGTCATAAATTTTCAAGAGGCACGATAGCACAGTTAAGCATATTATTAGACAATTAAGATCAAAATATATGACTTCAGCACTTGAAGAGTGGGTAGCCAGAGGGAGGAGACCCAGTAAGGGCAAGCTGATCCATGGCAACCCTTCCCCCAGCCCAGGGGATGCTGTCCCCCCAGATGTATGGGCCTGGGCCAGGCATTGGCCACCGGCCCAGCCTCACCCAGAGAAGTGCGGTGCTCTGCACAGACAGGGCAGCGCATTCACTCCCTGCCCGCCTGCCGGTCACCCCACTGTTAGCCCAGTGGGCAGGGCTGGGACCACAGCCCTTGAAGAAACACCTGCGGGCTAGCCTCTGACCAACTCCGCGTCACGGCCCTCACTCTGAGTCAGCAGCAGAACAGCCATCCCCCTGGGCCCACGGGGCTGCCAAGGCCAGAAGGTGGGAGTGGAAAACAAGTCCATGGGGGCCACACAGCTGGTGCAGACTCCAGATGTGTGCACGTGCGCACGCGCACCCACACACACACACACACACACACACGCACGCAGTCCTGTGTATACATCCTCATAAACATGGGCACAGGGACACATCCGGGCCCTGCCATCCCTCTGCCTCCACTGCCCCCCACCGCCACCAGAGAGCACCTCTAGGATGAAACCAGGGCTGTCAACTCCCTCTTCCCGAGAAAGTTCACACTCCCCCACTGGAAGCATAAGGCTTCAGGGGTCTGCCGATCTCTGCCCCCCTTGCACCCCCACTAACCTCTCTGTCCTCTGACCCGCCCTTACTGTTATCCTCTGACCTCCTTGCCTGTTGGTTCTCTCTGCACATGAAAGCGCTGCTCCTCAGTCCTCCCCCATCATCTTCGCCTGAGGAACTCCTGCTTAGCCTTCACGACTCCGCTTCAGGCTCTCCTGTCCCAGGGAAGGCCTCATGTCGGCCTTTGCTCCCCCAGTCTGATTTGGGTACCCACTGGGAGTTCCCACGGTGCCCCCGTTAGTGCTCTTACCACACTGTACACCAGATGCCCACACTGAATCGTCTGTCTCCCCAGGAGACGATAAGCTTCCAGAGACAGAGACTGTGTGATCTGTTCTCATTCTCCAGTTCCCAGCATGGCGTCCAGCACATTATAGCTGCTTCATAAGGAACTGGAGAATGAATGAATGAATGAATGACATCCACACACACACACACACACACACACACACACACACACACACACAATGACCTTCTGAGAAGGTCACCCACCAATTCCTGGGGGCATGTCTACCTCGGACACCTGCCCCTGCAGCCTCTTGTCCAGGTCATCATGCACGTTCAGATGCATATACATCTTCACATGTGCACCCTCGTGTACCCACACGTAGCATTTTTTAATTAAATCAATTCATTGGCTTTTGTTTCCTGTTTATAGCCAGTTCCAGCAGAGTCTATTTTGCTCCCAGGCAAAGCCAGATGGAATAGTTTTCTGGGCCCCATAGCAGACAGCAGAGGAATTTCCCATTCTTTCCACAGAAATTAAAGACTAAAGTCATGAATCTAAAATGTGTAACAAGAGCTAGCAAATAGTGGGGCACCTGGGTGGCTCAGTCATTAGGCATCGACCTTTGGCTCGGGTCATGATCCCAGGGTCCTGGGATCGGGACCTGCCTCAGGCTTCCACGGGAAGCCTGCTTCTCCCTCTCCCACTCCCCCTGCTTGTGTTCCCTGTCTCGTTGTGTCTCTGTCAAATAAATAAATAAAATCTTTAAATAAAAAAAAAAAAGAGCTAACAAATAGTACCAGAATGTCAGGATCCCTATAATATCAAGTCTTTGATCAGGACAGCCTGACCGTTAGGTATGACCATGTAAGCGACAAAAGTAAAGAGATGGGCGTGGAGGTGGACCCCCCCACCAGACCTTCCTTCAAGAAAAAACTTGTCCCAACTGCTGACAGGGCTGTCAGCTGTGTCAAGCAGAGAGTCTCAGGTACAGCGAGCCGCCTTGCCCACGGTCCTCCCTGCCAGAGACGCCCTCACCCAGTGATGAGGGAATATAGAAGCCCAACCATTGTGGCCCAATGGAGGACAGTGCGAAGGGGACATTTTAACTCCAGAGCTCCCCACGGGGTTGGCTGAGGTTTTGAGGACTACATACAGCCCGGCTTCTCCTCTGCCCCATCCTGCTTCCCACCCCCCCCCTTCCATAGGTGCTGATCCCAAGGGCATTTCTTTTTTTTAAAGATTTTATTTATTTGACAGAGAGAGACACAGCGAGAGAGGGAACACAAGCAGGGGGAGTGGGAGAGGAAGAAGCAGGCTTCCCGCTGAGCAGGGAGCCCGATGCGGGGCTCGATCCCCGGACCCTGGGATCATGACCTGAGCCAAAGGCAGACGCTTAACGACTGAGCCACCCAGGCACCCCGCCAAGGGCATTTCTTGGTAACATCCGGAACACTCCACATGTCTCAGAATCTGCTTCCCAGGGAGCCCAAGCTGCAAAGTGATAACATTTTGCATGCACACAGGACTTTAGATGTGAAAAGTGTTTTTCGTACACACTATCTCACAACTTCCTCGAAATAGCCCCTCTCCCTTCAGGGAGGACAGACATTGCTGTCCCATGTCACAGGTAAAGAAACTGAAGTTCACGGATTACATTTTGCTCCAGGTCACAAAGCCAAACAGGCACAAGGTGGGACTAGAACCTAGTTATTTCTGATTCAGAGTTCTCCATCTGCCTCCGTGATATCAGGCTGCCTATTGCCCCATGTGCGTGAGGCGGTGCAGTGAGTCTTCTTGCTAAGGATTAAATTCCAGATCCCACATAAGTGGGGGTGTCACTGGTCTCCAGCAGCCTGCTGCTCCCATCTTCCCCATCCCTTCCTCCAACTCCCCCAGTTTACAGACCAAAGAGGAGGCCCAGGGAGGGGAAGGGGCTTGTCCTCATCACCAGCTGGTTACTAATGGGTCCAGGACCAGAAGCCTATGATGTGTGTCCTCAGTGCTAAGTGGGAAATTAAGAGATGGGTGAGGAATTCCAGGACTCATGGGACAACATGGAAGATTAAGCTCATGCTAGAATTGGCCCCTTTTACCTCCAAATACAAAGTAAAGAGAAATGAAACATAAAACAATATAGCCATGCTCAAAAATAGAAAAGGAACATCCACATGCAGACTGGAAGAGGGTTGAGAGAGAGAGAGAGAGAGAGGGAGGCATGACAGTGGCAAACAGATACCAGAAACAAGTCACATGTGGTTGCTGGGGCCAAGCCCAGCCTACCCCAGCAGGACCCCAGCAGGACTCATCGTCAGAATCTGCCCAGCACCCCACACAAGGTAGGGACTGGAACCAGGCCGCCCACATAAAAATGAGACTGGGCCCACGCTGCCTGCTCTGAACACCAGGCCGGCCTCCCATCCTTGGTGGAAGATCTGACCAAAGGCTTCAGGTTCCCCGCAGTCTGTGCTCCGTGAGGGCAGGGGCATGCTGGGAGCTGAGCGGGAGCTGAGCAGACTTCGAACGGTCTCCCGGCCAGTCCTGCTGTCCCACACAACTGGGATTCACTGACCCCACGGGGCCGTCCGCATGCTGGGGCCTCTGGAGCCCCAGGGCTGGAAGGGTCCGGGGCTCCCCCAGGCTGCCAGCGGTCGCCTCTGCTGCCCCAGGC